GGGGGTCCCAGGTGGGTTTGGGGGGGGTCTCGGGTGGGTTTTGGGGGGGTCTCACTCACCTGGATGTACTCGGTGAGGCTGTTGAACACCTGCTTGGCCACGGCCATGGCCTTGGAGAAGTTCCTCTTGCCCTGCTCGTCGATGACGTCCTTGCCCGAGTAGTACCAGTAGAAGTCACTGATGGACTCCTGGGGACATCGGGGACACCGGGGACATTGGGGACGGTGGCACGGGGACACCGGGGGCCCCTGGGGACGCCGGGGACAGCGGGCCAGCTGTGTGTGTCACCTGCAGGCGCAGCAGGTAGTCCACGGTGCAGATGATGATGTTGATGGTGGTCGTGTTCCCCGTCTGCGTCCGCAGGTAGTTCTGGAAGTCTGGGGGGACAGGGACAGCCCGGGGTCACCTCGCTGTCACCTTGCTGTCACCGGGGTGTCACCGGGGTCCCCTCATGTCCCCCCCTCCCCGAGTCACCCCCCTCTTCCCGGCCCCTCCTGCCCCAGGGAGCTCCGAGCCCCCTCCTCCCACACAGAGCCCCCCGAGCCGTGTCCCCCTTTGTGTCCCCAGGTGTCCCCAGGGGTCCCCAGGTGTCCCCAGGTGTCCCCAGGGGTCCCCACCGTTGTTGTGGCCCTCGCAGAGCAGCTGCAGCAGCCGGAACAGGTCCTGGGTGAATTCATCGTCCGACATCACCTTCTCCCCTGGGGGGACACGGGGGGGACACGGCGACAGCGGGGTCACCGGGGGACACGGGTGGCACGGGGACACGCCCCGGTGGCACGGGGACACACCACAGAGTGGCACAGGAACACCCCGAGATGGCACAGTGACACCAGAGAGTGGCACAGGGACATGCCCCAGTGGCACGGGGACACCAGAGAGTGGCACGGGGACACCCTGGCGTGACAGGGACACACCACAGAGTGGCACGGGGACACCAGAGAGTGGCACAGGGACATCCCAGAGTGGCACGGGGACACCAGAGAGTGGCACGGGGACAATCTGAGGTGGCACAGGGACACCACAGAGTGGCACAGGGACACCCTGGCATGACAGGGACACACCATAGAGTGGCACGGGGACACCAGAGAGTGGCACGGGGACAATCTGAGGTGGCACAGGGATGCCAGAGAGTGGCACAGGGACACCAGAGAGTGGCACGGGGACACCAGAAAGTGGCACAGGGACACCCCAAGATGGCACAGGGACACCAGAGAGTGGCATGGGGACAAGCAGGGGTGGCACAGGGACATGCTGGAGTGGCACAGGGACAAGCAGGGGTGGCAGGGGACAAGCAGGGTGGCACGGGGACAAGCAGGGTGACATGGGGACAGGCATGGAGGGGGGTTAACAGGGAGGGGACACGCAGGGGACCAGCAGGGACACGGTGACAGCCACCCTCCTCCTGCCCCCCCCGGAGCCTTTGGGGACCCCAACCCTGTCCCCGATGGCCCCTGAGAGCACCTGGAGACCCCCTAAAGCCACTACAGCCCCCAGACCCAAATCCCCTATAGCCCCCCTAAAGCCCCTGTGGCCCCCAGACCCAAATCCCCTGTAGCCCCCAACAGTCCTCTATCGCCCCCAGACCCAAATACCCCATAGCCCCCAGCTCTACAGCCCCCCTAAAGCCCCTGTGGCCCCCAGACCCAAATTCCCTACAGCCCCCTTGAAACAATCCCCTACAACCCCCAGACCCAAATCTCCCACAGCTCCCAGCCCTACAGCCCCCCTGAAACACCATGGGGGATTTGGGGTGCTCAGGGAGGTTTGGGGGGCTCAGAGTGGTTTGGGGGTCTCAGGTGAGTTTTGGGGTCTCAGGGGATTTTGGGGGGGGTCTCACTCACCTGGATGTACTCGGTGAGGCTGTTGAACAGCTGCTTGGCCACGGCCATGGGGGATTTGGGGTGCTCAGGGAGGTTTGGGGGTCTCAGGTGGGTTTGGGGGGGGGTCCCAGGTGGGTTTGGGGTCCCAGGGGTCTCACCTGGATGTACTCGGTGAGGCTGTTGAACACCTGCTTGGCCACGGCCATGGCCTTGGAGAAGTTCCTCTTGCCCTGCTCGTCGATGACGTCCTTGCCCGAGTAGTACCAGTAGAAGTCACTGATGGACTCCTGGGGACATCGGGGACATTGGGGACGGTGGCACGGGGACACCGGGGGCTCCTGGGGACGCCGGGGACAGCGGGCCAGCTGTGTGTGTCACCTGCAGGCGCAGCAGGTAGTCCACGGTGCAGATGATGATGTTGATGGTGGTCGTGTTCCCCGTCTGCGTCCGCAGGTAGTTCTGGAAGTCTGGGGGGACAGGGACAGCCCGGGGTCACCTCGCTGTCACCTCGCTGTCACCGGGGTGTCACCGGGGTCCCCTCATGTCCCCCCCTCCCCGAGTCACCCCCCTCTTCCCGGCGCCTCCTGCCCCAGGGAGCTCCGAGCCCCCTCCTCCCACACAGAGCCCCCCGAGCTATGTCCCCCTTTGTGTCCCCAAGTGTCCCCAGGTGTCCCCAGGTGTCCCCAGGTGTCCCCAGGGGTCCCCACCGTTGTTGTGGCCCTCGCAGAGCAGCTGCAGCAGCCGGAACAGGTCCTGGGTGAATTCATCGTCCGACATCACCTTCTCCCCTGGGGGGACACGGGGGGGACACGGCGACAGCGGGGTCACCGGGGGGCACGGGTGGCACGGGGACACGCCCCGGTGGCACGGGGACACCCTGGCGTGACAGGGACACACCACAGAGTGGCACGGGGACACCAGAGAGTGGCACGGGGACAATCTGAGGTGGCACAGGGACACCACAGAGTGGCACAGGGACACCCTGGCATGACAGGGACACACCATAGAGTGGCACGGGGACACCAGAGAGTGGCACGGGGACAATCTGAGGTGGCACAGGGATGCCAGAGAGTGGCACAGGGACACCAGAGAGTGGCACGGGGACACCCACCAGAAAGTGGCACAGGGACACCCCAAGATGGCACAGGGACACCAGAGAGTGGCACGGGGACGCCAGAGAGTGGCACAGGGACACCAGAAAGTGGCACAGGGACACCCCAAGATGGCACAGGGACACCAGAGAGTGGCATGGGGACAAGCAGGGGTGGCACAGGGACATGCTGGAGTGGCACAGGGACAAGCAGGGGTGGCAGGGGACAAGCAGGGTGGCACGGGGACAAGCAGGGTGACATGGGGACAGGCATGGAGGGGGGTTAACAGGGAGGGGACACGCAGGGGACCAGCAGGGACACGGTGACAGCCACCCTCCTCCTGCCCCCCCCGGAGCCTTTGGGGACCCCAACCCTGTCCCCGATGGCCCCTGAGAGCACCTGGAGACCCCCTAAAGCCACTACAGCCCCCAGACCCAAATCCCCTATAGCCCCCCTAAAGCCCCTGTGGCCCCCAGACCCAAATCCCCTGTAGCCCCCAACAGTCCTCTATCGCCCCCAGACCCAAATACCCCATAGCCCCCAGCTCTACAGCCCCCCTAAAGCCCCTGTGGCCCCCAGACCCAAATTCCCTACAGCCCCCTTGAAACAATCCCCTACAACCCCCAGACCCAAATCTCCCACAGCTCCCAGCCCTACAGCCCCCCTGAAAC